AAACTCCGCTTAAACAGGTCGAATGAATGATGCCAACTTTCACTTATTGCAAGCTGGCAGTTCCTCAAGGTAAATACTTTAGAATGCAGGTAAAGCAAACGCCTACAAAGTAATTATTTAGTGCTCAAAGGTATTTTGATTTAATATAAAACTATGTATTTCATATATATAACTGTGGAGGAGCTCTGCAGCATGTTAGGTCTGAGCCTATTATACACAATTATTAGTCAAGCAATAGCCGATGACAGCTGTAACTAGGCTTCAAGCTCGGAGTTGCTTACAGAAAAATCGTATATTTCTATATTTCTTGTATATCTTATATTTCTTATATTTCTAATATTTCGTATATATCTTATATTTCTAATATTTCTTATATTTCTTATATTTCTAATATTTCTATATATCTTATATTTCTTATATTTCTATATTTCTTATATTTCTTGTATTTCTTATATTTCTTATATTTCTTATATTTCTTACACTTCTTACACTTCTTATATTTCTCATATTTCTTATATTTCTTATATTTCTATTCCCAATTAAAATGTTCTGCAAATCTTTGACACGAACTCCTCTTATTTCCTGAACCTATAAGAGTCTTTAAGAGAACTAGTTTTATTCGGCCAATGGTGCGGTCAACGCATTACATTTTGACAGTCTGTGGTCATGGAAATCAAATGCACCCATCACACTCATCACTCGCTACTTAAATGCCAGAACCCAGCCCAGACTAAGCTTTTTTGCGGATCCTTCAGCAATCCGCACACTTAAAATATTTACGCAATCAGAATTAATGCAACTGTCATGTTTTGTGTTCCCCGTCCTCCCACGTCGCTCACGAAGCGTTTAATGCAAATACACTTTAGAATTGTAGCCGACCGCATCAGGAAGCTGCCTCCTGGTCCCGCTCCGCTCACGTTCGGCTGGCTGATGCATGTTTAAATTTAAACAGTAAAACCAAACTCATTACCAACAACAGGCGAGTGTGTTCTGTGCGCTGTGCGCTGTGCGTCCGTCGTCGTTGTCAAATTACCAAACTGTCCTTTTGCGTAATTTTGTGGACATTGAAAATCGCTTTGATTGAACCGCATGCCATGCAGGCAACAACAGCAACAGCAGCGGCAACAACAACTTGTGCACTACAATGGCCGCACATAAAACAAACAGACCACGTCCTGGCAGTGTCCTGGCCACATCCAAATCCACTTGCAATTGCAGCTGCAAATGCGCTCCGCTGCACTTACACGCATCCCAGCTTCAGCTCCATGTGTAAATTGTCGATGCGGATGCGGATGCGGATCGGGCATTGGGTATTGGAGAATTAACGATTGGGGACGTGGGGCATTAAGGGATTGGTTTTATGTCGCTTGCGCTCGAATGGAGACGCATTTTACTGCCCTGCTAATCTCTGAGCGATACGTTGCGCAATGCGAAGTAAAAGCGAAACCAAACTCGGGCAACTGAACAACTGGGATCCAGTGCTGGGGTCGGAGTACGTTTGCCGGCCCAGCAAGTTGACTTTGAAAATCAATTAACAACATCAAACAGACACTGGCTGCTGACGTCGACCCTCCGCCCGCCACCGAATGCTGTGAGTCGCCTCGCAAGTGTGTAAATTGCAACTGTAAATCAAATATGACAACGCAGCCGATGCAAAATTTCCATGTGTGTCAGTCACATTAATTGTCCGTGCCAAGTGGGCGGGCGTTGGCCCGGATAGGCGGGGCATATTTTATTGTTGCGTTAATGAGTGTGCATAGCGCTGCCGTGGGCTCAACCAGAGACTCCGCGGGTGTGAGCCAGGCATAGAATATGGTTTGCATTTCCCAGTGGACAGTGCGCTGCAGTGCCGTATGCTGATGTGGCATAAAAATATGTTGCCATGCGGCATGCGGAGGGTATTTTAATTAATTATATTTGCAAGTCGCCAGAATAAAAGGACATTAATTGGATATTGATTGCGTGAATGATAAATCGTGGACCATATTGAGCTGACCAACAAACAGCAACAAAAAAATTAAGGAGTTGTCCAAGAAATATGCCTACCTTGAACTCCATCCCCTCCAAAAACCTCAACTCCCCAAAAGTAGACGCTTCAGATGTCTTGTATGCAGCACAAAACTTTTCAGGTCATTGACTCGTTGAAGGAAACCATTTTCAACTTTTCTAATTAAACAAGCAACAAATTAGCTAAATCAACTTAATCAACTCGCAACGACAAACACAAATATATATATATATATTACATATATAAATACACATATAGGTAAAAGTCTCCCTTAGATAAATTCAGACACAAACTAATAAAATTATTTACTCAACAAAATGTCGACACAACTGCACAATCCGGAAAGCAAAAAAAAAAATGCATGAAAAGTTATGAGCACGTAGATGACATAAAATGTGTTGGATCTACCATGCGAGAGATGATTCCACTTCATCACATTTGCATGCAGAACGCAGCAAGCATGACGTGATAATTTACCTAACTGCCTATACAGCCAGCCAGCCACAAGCCCAGCCAGTTAACTATTGGCTCAAATCAGAGACAGTTCATAAGATGCAAGCATCAAATTTGATGACGTCTATGCCATAATTATGCGCGAATTACTGTGTACACAGAGACTGGGATGTAGATGGAGTTGCAGAACAATATAAAGTGGAGTCGGCAACGATTTTAATGGGCACTTTATGCGTGGCGCTCCCCAGCTCGAGTCAATAAAACTTTATGAATTCCTGTCAGATAAACAACTGAGACTAATTTAAATAGTTTATGATCGCAGCTAGATAATAAGGGTGATTTTAATTTAGTAATTCTTAAAGCTCTTCCAGCAGCCCCATTTAATGCTTTAGTCCTGGGCTGCCTTCAGTCTTTATTGTTGAAAAAATTCCAGCTAGACAGTGTCTGACTAAAGCGCAGACCGCATTATCTCTTGCTCTCACTGCTTATCGTTCTGTTTATGGGCTAAGCTCTCGTCGCGATATGTCTGCGGTATGTGGAAGCACTACCCATAAGACCTTTCATTGGTTTCATTTCTTTGACCGGCTAGACGCCATTAGAGCTGTGGCAACGAATGCCACAGGACGCTGAGCGTCGAGCTGTTGACTGTTCTGTGGCGATAACTGGGAATTAATTAAACGCCGAATTAAATTAAAATAAAACCGCAAACTCGAAAGCAGCTTTCAAGTGGTGCGGCGCAAGGTCTATTAATAATGGCATAAACGACTTAAAGATATAAATTTTGATATGAAACCGCTTTAAGGGCAAACCCATTCCTCGGGTAGACTACTAGCCCCCTAGGCTCTTCTGGTTCAACGTTTTTGGTGGCCCCACTGTGGCTTTCATAATGTTTGACGTCTGCTTCCTCTGCACTTTTTTTTTGCATTCATCGAGAAGGCTAAACAATAAATGCGACCAGCCAAGCCGACAAATACAAAGCAAAAGTCCTCCTGCGAGGCCGCTTTGGGCAAAGAGGGCGAATGGGTCAGGCGGAAACACGAAACGAAACAACTGCAGCAAATGCAACTCTGGCAGCGACTTTCCACTTCCGCCTGCACTAAAAGTTTAAGTTCATTTCCGTTCGAGCACAGAATTTTGCGAAAAATTAATTAGAAGTTGCACAAACACGCGACTGGACTCAGTTGCCCTTATCATAGAGTTCAATGCGAAAAGGATTCATTTGCTTTGCTTTTGCACTTCCTCCCTTGTGCGCTTTGTTTTCTTTTTTGAAAATGTTCGTCTTTCATTGAATGCCCTTTATATGCCACTTAGCTTAGTAAATTCCCAGATCAGCTACGAGATGTTCCGAGGTTTGCAGTTCCCGTGATATTCTTTGGACTCACCAACTGCTCTGCAGTTGCTTCTGACCGCCGCATTGTTAGCTCACCTTCAATGCCAGCTGCAAAGACACGTTCGTCTTGTCATTTTGTAGTTTGTAATTAGTAGCAATTAATTAAGATTAACATTTGATAGCTCCAGCTAGGAGCGGGCAACAATGAAACGTGTCCACGACTTGGGTCCACGACTAATGTGGCGACCCGACAGACAAATTTCCCACATAAGTTTCTGCCAACTGACAGAGATAAATGACTACAGTTGCACCAAGTACTCGACGATTTACTAACGATAAAAAGAAAGAAGTAATTGCCATAGAACAGAGTATGTTACCCGTTGTATCTGAACTCCAGATCCATTTATGAGTGGACGTATTGAATATAAGTATTCCAATATATATCCTTATTTGTGTAAGGGAAAATCGAAAAAATGTAGCTAAGAATAGAATAGAAGAATAGAATATCACCTTGATAAATGATGGGAACTGCTCAAAACTCAATTAAGCCAGAAACGGCCTCCTTCAAACGAGGAGGATCCGAGCTGGTACGCATGGAACTAGTCGTTCCATCTGGCTCATTGTATGTTAAGATCATTTGCAGGTTGGCTAAATAAGAGACTTCAGACTATACAAACACAACATTACACAATAAAATTAAATTATGGTTTCACATATATTTTATGTAGATTTTGATTTCTTTAGTATAAATAAAAAATAGTTTAGTAAGAACAAAAAGTTAAGAAGCCATAACAGGAATTTATTCAATTGTAGTTTTTTAATTCAATCGAATCGTCTTCAGTCATATATTATTTGACAGTATAAATCCATAAAAAAGCCATTAAAACAGTGGGCGTGTCCAAAGATTCAGTTGCCATTTGCTAGAGTTGGAGTGTCTAAGGCAACTGCGGACCAAGAGCTGAGAGAAAGTCTGCTGGTGAAGAGATCGGAAAATTTTCTTTTCATATTAACATATTATTTTTATCAATGTTCTTTGTAACAGCTCTTCTCAGAAAAAGTAAATTATGCAAATAGTGTAAGATTGTGATGAAGAGATCAGAAGCTGAATGGTTTTCCTTCTCATATTCTAATACGATTTAAGTGCTATACTGCTATTGCTATTAATATGGACAGTGCACTGATAGAAACTTGTTTTGTGTCTCATTTCAGGCCTGAAAGACGCAAATGTGGACAGGCATACCACTAAAGGTAAGGGAGCGGGGCTCCTTATTTTATTTAGCTGGTCCAATGGAAATCATAAATTTATTAAGGCCCCACTTAAGCCCAAATTGTCGAAATAATTGCAAACCAAAATTTGTTGCTCGACGCAAAGTCAAAGGGCGCCACAGTAACCCAGGCGAAACCCACACACTCAACCACAATAACTATAAATTCCCAGGACCCGGAGCCCGCTTACACAGAAGAAGAAGACAGAAGCCAGCAGCCTCTTTAAAACGCAATCAAGCTGAAAATTAATTAAAATTTTAAGCGGGATATGAAAATAATGTGCAGCCGAAAGAAATTACACTGGCAAACAGGCAAACAAAACAGCGTAGCTACATCTTGCTATGCTTCACCTCACCTCACCTCAAGTGCTAAACTCCCAGCTACGCTCAGTCGAGGCAGCGTTTAATTTAAAACTCACTTGTTACATTTTTACACGCTGGCTTCGACTCGAGTCTTCAGTATGCGTGTTTGTCCCAGTTGGAAGTCGTCTCGATTTCATTAAAAATGTTTTTATGCTCACATTATCCTTTTACTTTAGCGTCGACTCCACGTCTCGCTGTTTTAGTGAGCAATTTAATTTGACTATGAAGCGGCAGCCGCATCCTTGACACTTTCGCTTTCCACCTTTTCACCTTTCCACTTTTCCTCGTAGCTGCCTACCCTTTGCCAATGGCTTGTTTTAAGCAGCTTAAGCTTGTCGTTGAGGTGCTCGTTACCCACGGCTGCTGCTGCTGCTATTTCTGTTGCTGTTAAAGGGCTCATAATTTCACGCTCTGAGCACACACAAGTCCCCCTCGCCGTGCTGCACCTGCGCCAGCCACTCGTTCGTGGCCTTTAAGTGAAGAGTTCTCACCGATTTCGGTGTGCGTGTGTCGACACAATTTTCACCAACAGATTTCCCTCTTTTCGCTTTGAGTTACTGAGACCTCGCCTCAATCCAATCAAACTTAAGTGCGCTGTTGAATGCTCAGGATCTGCGATTGCCGACTTCTTGTCATTGCATGCCTCACGATCTTTTCTTTAAGCAATTCCAGCATTGAACTCAATATTAAGAGAAGTTTCAATATATATTTAAAAGGAACTCTCAGTTATTCCAGCTATATTGAGTCAATCGGCTAATATCGGCTGCCCAGCAAAACTTTCAGTTGCCCCTTGTCCTTTCACTGCTGCTCGCTATTGAAAGACTTGACATTAGCCTCTGAGTTGGGCTTTCAAATGAATTGGCTTTTTGCGCTAATGTGATGAATGGCAGTGTCAATGCACTCGCAAAGAAGCGGACATAAAAAATGCTTTGGAATCGTAATTACTCTGCAGGGACAGACTACAGACACAAGGCTACTTCAGCCTGCGCTGCTTGCAAATTATTCCACAGCAACTCACCTCCAATTCTCGGTAACATCACTTTAATCTCATAAATCAAACGCCAACAACACGTAGACGAAGGCATGCGAGCCGCACATATCATAGCATTTAGCATATTTCACTTAGGCAAACATTTAATCCTGTAGCCTGTCCTGCGACCTTAGTCCTGACTGGCTGACTGGCTGAGAAACCGGCTGGTTGGCTGGTTGGAGTCCGCGTCTACCTCCTGTTCGGTAACATTTTCATTTCCGCTAGCGTTTTATTTTTATTTCTTATTACACGTTATCAAATAATGAATATCAAATGTAATGCTTATCATTTATTTGCCGAGGCGGCACCCAAATGGATTCGATGCCAGCAACTTGTGGAAAAGCTAACCCAACAACCAGCACCCAGCCCCCAGCCCCCAGCCCCCAGCCAGGTGGCAACATATATATATTATAATATTTACTTAATTTTCATTTGTAATTTTTGCTGTGGCAGGAGGCATATGAAATAGCAGCTAGACCTTGGCCATGGATAGAAAAAGTGGGGAGAAAAAATGCTGCATAATAAGCGAGCTTCAAATAGCGAAAGTTGTTGTGATGTGGGAGGTAAAAGTCAATTGGGGTGTGCGGCGCCTGGTATTCCTTGCAGGTGGTTTAAGCTGGCATCTGAAGCGATAAGCAGAGTATTTGAATTTTTAATAAAATGAAATGCGAATCCCTACAAGTTTGCCCATCCCAATCTTTAATGCATTTGCCACTTGTGCAGATGCTGCCACAAAAGAAAAAAGAAAAAATTATTCAAATTTTGTTCGTGGTTGCTGACGCCATTTTCCTGTCACTGGCTGTGAAAACTACGCTGCTTCCCCATCTGTTTCTTGGGACATTTGAGCTAATCTTTTGGTCAGCCAACGTCCCACTTCCTATTTCCATTCCGATTCTTATTGCCCATGGCCGTCTGTCGGTCTGCAGCCTTGTTGTCTATTCGCTTTTTGGAATTCCAATTTGAATGCTTCGTGGTTTTCCTACCGACACCCTGGTTGGCTGGGCGGTCCCTACGATTCGGTGGGTCCAGCCAATATTATTTTATTCATGCCATCGTCAGCGTCATCGTGTTTGTCTTTTGTCGCCCTGCCGTATTCCTCGTGCTCCTCTTTATTGCACTTGAAAAATCGTAATTAGAATTGGTAATGTATTCAAATTAACTTTCATTTCCGTGTATTTGTTCTGTCCTCATCAAGATGGGCGCGCATTCACCTGACAAGTGAAAGCTTTAGCTTGACAATTAAGCGATAAGCAAGAAATGATATTATCTGAATATCAAGCAGCCGAATCATCTAAGCACATTCCACTTCCAATCAAATAAAAATAGATTATTCTTCTCGGTAAGCGCCGCCAAACTCAATGCCAGAATGATCTAAAATAGCGGGCGGGCAGGCAAGGAATTACTTGTGCCATCTAGCACATACTTTTGCTACCATATTTCAAAATCTTTGTTTGCCCAGCCACGGAAGGAAAAGTTTTGCCGAACAAAAAGTAAGTGAACGTGCGGCGGCATTGAAAGCGGGAAAAGCCAAGGAAAATGTAGAAGCAAGAAACTGAAGAAACTTTCTCAGGCGAAATCGTAAAGAATTCAACTAATAAAAATCAGCCACTCAAGTGCGAAAAAATCGCGAAAAGCATCATCAAATAATGTGCCACTCAAGCCGAATGCCAAGCGTGTCCAGCCCCAACTCCAGCTGCCAGAACCGAAAGACAAATAGAAAACAAAAGTAAAATGTAAAAGCGAGTTGAAATAAAACTATGCTTGCACGGCAAGGCTGAAGCGAACTTGCGCCCAAAATAATGCCAAATTGCCGGGGAATGCAGCCACACGCCCACCAAATGCGACCCCTTCGATATACGTCATCGGGCGAACTTCGATGGGTTATAGCCGGAGCTCCAATCTGTCTCCTTACGGCGGGCAGTGGGGTGCTTGGGAGGTGTGGTTGCCGATGCGTTGCCCACATATTTCCGCCGCCGCGAAGCGTGCTAGGTATTTTGCCAGTTTTTCGCAGCGCATGTGTGTGTGCGTAGCGGAAAAGCAATTTTCCTTTGTGTCGTGCTCAGGTTTCAGCTCGGATTGTTTTCGTCGTCGAGTTTTTCCTACGCGCTGCATTGAGCTGGCAAATTTGTTGCAACAGAAATAAACACTTTATTAAATGCATTGGAATAAACGCAGCTGAAGGAAACTCCGCTGGCGCATTTCTATTTGTCTTCTCTTCACATGTGGATAAGCTCTGCGGATAAAAAGTTTGGCGGACTCTTCTCGAAAAGTGAATTTGGTGTTAAGCTCCACTGGGATATTCGTCCGTGCAGCGAAGCGAATCTTAAAGCCAGGCATCCAATAGCTTTATATTTTGTTTTGCGAGTATCTAAGACACAATAAAGTGCAACGCCACTGCACGCATCTCAGTAGATAGTTTTGAGTTATTCGACTTGGCTTTAGTGAGATGCCACATCAAACGACAGCTAAGAGCATCAAATTGGGCTGGTTTCTTCAAGATACCTTTTTAAATTATTAAGGTGTTCTCTATGTTATCTTAGCTTACCCAGCATACGATACTTAAGAGTAGCCTAGACCATTTACTTATAAGTACTAACGAACAGATGCAGCATACAGTAAAGAATACTATAACTTTTTTGCTCAGATCAGATAAGAAATATTGATAATAATAATACAACAACATAAAAGTTTGATGAAATAAAATATTCATGTATAGAATCACATCTTCAGTATTTTCAAAATATTTTATTAAATTTTGTTTAAATATATTATGGAATTAGGTTAGTCGCAATTGAGAAAAAACAAAACAGAAATTTAAGCCTAGAAAATATGAGATAAATATTTGCTTGCTAATTAATAATTTATTGACTAATAATAGTATTAATTCATAATAGTTTATATCTCTAGCGATCTCTTTTAGAACTTATTGAAATATATCATAGCAATAGGTAAAAGCTACTCCTCTTAGTGGGAAACTCCTCCTCTGCTATAAGTTAAACAACAATCAGACAAGCTTTAAATGCGAACAATCAATGCATGATCGAGTATTCAGTTTAATAAGAATAAAAGCCTTACTTTAGATCTGTATAATACCGGAGTACTATGCGCCTTGCTCACCTCATCATATTTCAACGAGGACACAAATTATGATTTAAATATTTATTTACTTTTTGCATTTGCCGTCAGTTCAAAGCGGATGCCTTCTATGCTGTGATCCCGCACACTTAAGCACACTTACACATCTACACATAATCGAAGCCAGGAATCAAATTATGCTAGAATTGAGATTGATTTTTTATTCAATTTTAATGCGACAAACGAAGGCAGATAAACAGACGCCGACACCGACACCGACACCGACACAGCAGAAACAACTTTGACACACACATGCAGACACACCCACATATGCAGACACATGTCCCTCGGCGCTTGGCCCGTGGGCCGAATGCCTGCGATTCGTTTATGGGCCCTATATACCCAGTGACAGGGTGCTTCAAATCAGAGTCAAACACGTGGCCGTGGCCTCAGCAGCCTCGACTCGTTGGCTGGGGACAAATTATAGCAACGATGGGACGCGTGGGAGTGCCACT